GCTACTACACGTACACACCACTGATAGGCATAGTAATCAAGTCTTTGCCCATCAAACAACAACTGAGAAGAACACAGAAGCTATATGATTGAAGTACGAAATCCAAGTGATCACTGCAAAAACCAAGTAAAGTTCTCACACGCCACAAATGATTAGCGATCGCTTCACCTAAGCGTATATACTGTTAGTATGTATATGTATGTGTAGGAAAGTAAGGTTCAAAATCGGTGCGAGAACAACTTGATGGAATTGTCTTGGATTTTAGGCACTCGCTGACTGTTACTTGCAAGAACATGCACCGAAGTGCATTATCTCTCGCTCAGTCGCGCTTTCTGTCTTTCTTTTTCTCTCATTGTCGTTGGCACTTCCCATCGTCGCACATCATTAGCAGACAATTGCAGCACACAATGTTGCATTTTGCACCTTTGCACCCAACCCAGCGTAGGAAGAATGCAAATTCACCTGGCCAATATTAAATCGCAACTAAGAAGCATATGAGCACTTTGACTTGACATTCTGGGCCAACAATGGTAGATTTGGCCAACGGCAATGGAAAATGGCTGCGAATGGAACGGAAGTTGCCACAACGCTTGCGGTTCCTCCGCACATACATACACATACACACACTCATGTGCAGCACAATAGCAGTGGAATGGTGGCAGCGGTGGCGATGGCGGTGACGGCGGTCAGATCTGCGGTTACCAACAATGGCTTACCGCAAATATTCGACTCATACGTTCGGCCTTTATTGCCGCTGTGTTTACAGCTCTTTATTTACTGCCTTCTTGGCCGACTATGCTACCCGGCTGCAGTCCATTTGGCTGGCTCATTGCGTTTTGTGGGCCAAAAGATTTCATTTCACAGCGTTCCCTTTGATCGCCTCTTCCTGTGCAGAAATTGCATTCGGCTATTATGGTGCCTACTTGCCGGCACGCACACATACCTACACACATATACACACACATGCATTTGCAGTTTAATGGAGTAGGCAAATTATTTTCAAGATTGTGGGATATTTGCTGTCGCAATTGAATTGAAAGGCTGCCAAAAAATACAAATTTAAAACGCTTCCGTTTGATTAAGAAGTATGCGGTGAGGTCAGAAAAAGTAGCGCCTGAGTTGGCAGTTGGTTAATGTGGACAGTTGAAGTGTGTATAATGACGAGTGGTGAAAGAAAGAAAAAGTTAACAGTTATGATTTGTGTGTGGGTACTTACATAACTACTAAAGATTCTATAGGTTAGCTTATAGGGATGATCCACGCACCAAAGGTAACCGGTGGAAAACCTGGTTAGCTGTGAACCCTAGTCCTTTATGGTTCCCAAAATTCGTAGATATGGATCATAAAACCTTAATAGATCGAAGAAGCGTTAGGCAATTTCCATTCGACAAGATATATCCAGTCAGAATACCTACCAGATTGATCTTGCCGTCTGGCTTCTGCAGCTCTGGTTGTTAACTAGCCTCTGCCAAGAATGGAGCTTCTTAAAATCAAAACTAGAGCGCACGTGGGCTGTGGAGTACCGGCTCGTTCGCAATCTGATAAAATTGGGGTAAGGGTGCCCTCTCTAGTAAGCTCGTCGACTACGCAGTTTCCAGCGGGTCAAATGTGAGCAGACACCCAAACAAATCGGATAACAAAGTAGCTTGATGCCGCTGATAAAGTGGTCAAACTCTCCTTGACTAGTTCTGAGCGCACAGTCAGCTCAATGCCAGTTTTACAAGCACTCTGCTTTCGAAGTGAATGCACAACTCTCTGAAGGAATCTAGACTTCGGAGCAGTACTTTTACTGCTTACTTGAAAATCAAGAGCTCTTATAATAATGAAATCCTCGCTTGTCTACTTGGCAGTATCTAACGTTTTAAATAAACATACATACACTGGACACCTGTGGTATCATAAAAAGAAAAAGGAGAAAATACTAAGATACAGAACTTGGTTGTTCTTAAGCTTTCAGTCATTGTGATCAACCATAAATATTAAAAAAAAAAACGAAAAAAACATATTACTCTTTTACATGACATTTATACCCTACATAGGGTATATTAAGTTTGTCACGTAATATCCAAAGAAATTGTTTAGAACGAGTCACTATATCATATAGCTGCCATACTATTTAAACGATCGGTATCAAGTTTCTGTAAGGAAACTTTGTATGTATTTTTGAAGGCTATTATTGGTGCAACCAAAGATGAGGTTATTTTTTTGTTTATTGCTTTACGGATTACTTAAAAAGTCAAATAATGAACTAAGGCCCATTGTTATTTGAGGAATCAACGGAACGCATTTACGAAGGATAGTGGTACATTTCATTAAACATACTCAACTCTCTATTGAAAAGTAATAAAATTCTTATATAACATATGGATGATGTGGATTGAAAGAAAAATATTTCTTTTTAGTGTTCATAATTCTTTAATATTTTTTTTAAAAAGTAATGCTTCTTTTTTGATTGGAAAGTTGAAAACGTTTCTTCCACGCTATAATACACATTTAATCACAAATACTCAATTAATTATGTAAGCAATGTATAAAAATAGTTTCTAGGTGATAAGAACTGTGGTTACTCAATAAAAAAATATACATATGTACATAGTATATATTTTGTTTTAATCGTGGTTTTCTTCATCCAACATCTGCGCAACCGCATTTGGATTGATTTGTGGCTTTACGCACTTCAAAACAAATTTCATACACATGTACTTGCATGCAGGCGATATACATACATACATATAATATAATATATTATTGTATATTAAGATACAGCAAGCACTGCGCATATCTTCCTCACAAATTTAAAACCATCACACTTCATACAATTATTGTATAATACTATATTTAATAATACTTGTATATACAAGCTCTACATATATTGTACATACCATACAATACACACAATATGTACGAGTATATATATCTACGCATATGATATAACGGCGCATTCTTCCTACGGCCTTAAACTGAATTCTCGGAATTGTAGGCAAGTTTTGGCTCGCAATCGTACATATGCATGTGAATATGTAGGTGATGGCATATATATATATGTATATATGTACGTGTGTTTGTCTGGTTTGTCGAAGTTTTAATCTCTTCCTCCCAATTACTGGCTACTCCATTCATATTTGTTTTACATTTTCAATAAATTAACAGCTTAAGCGCCACTTTGTTGCTTTTGGCCTACCGCCGTGTACTGGTTCAATGCTTTTAGGTATATATTTTTACGCTCTACTATCGTGGTAGGCATTTCCGGACTGTGCAGCGAAAAAGCTTCTTTTTTTGTAAATTCGCACCGATGTGTCATTTGACTCATTAGCATTTTATGAAAAAAAAAAATGTTTCTTGTAGTAAAATGATGCTTGCTTCTGCGCTATATATGTATATACTAATACATATGTACATATACAGATAACAGCCGTTTAAATATCTTTGTTGTAGTTGCTTTAATATAAACTGTTTAGAAAATCTACAAACTTCTATTTCATTACCATAGATCTTGCGTAGGTGTGTCAAAACTACCATATATACTTGTATATATATACATACATACATACTATAAGTGAACAATGAAATTAGGCAACGTTTACGATTTTTTTGTATTCATTACAAAAAGAATGGCTTGAAGGCAGACAACGTTGTTTATATGCAGATTGAAACTTAGAAAACCGAAGAATTGTGACTAAGATCATTTAATTTCTCAACTTCACCACCAGAACAGGTGAATCATGTGTGATACTAAACAAACGATACAGAGCTTGAAAATATTATATTAATCTAGTCACAAAACCTATGTATAGAAAACATGTGTCCTGTTACTAAACACCACTTTCATTATTACACCTTGAACAGGATATATTAAGTTTGCCACGGAGTTTGTAACACCAAAAAGGAAACATCGGAGACACTATAAAATATATATAAAATATAATACATAAATGATCAGCATGATGAGCTGAGTTGATTTAGCCATGACCGTCTGTCAGTCCGTCTGTCCGTCCGTCCGCCTGTATATACGCGAACTTCGATTCTCTCAGTTTTTGAGATATCGATCTTAAATTTAGCATATAACCGTTTCTCACCAAGAAGCTGCTCATTTGTCGAAACGGGCGATATCGGGCCACTATAGCATATAGCTGCTATACAAACTGAACAATCGAAATCAAGTGCTTGTATGGAAAACTCTTTCATTTGACGAGGTATCTTCACGAAATTTGGCATGGATTATTATTTAAGACAACAATGTATTCTCCGCAGAAATGTTTAAGATCAGATCACTATAACATATAGCTGTCATACAAATTGTACAATCGGAATTAAGTTCTTGTAAAGAACCCTTGTATTTGTGAAAGGTATTATAGCTTCGGTGCAACCGAAGTTCACGGTTTTTCTTGTTTTGTATGAGAACAACGAATTTATCTTTAAATGATACTTTGAGGTCGCGTCCATTTGAAATAATGATATTCTTCTTGCCCCGAGAAACTTTTTACATTCGAGAAAGAACATTTGAAGAAAACTAATAATTCAATAATTTCTGAATAGCCTAAAATAAACGATGAATAATAACGGAAAATTACGACAAAGAAAGTATATAAAATATTAAAGAAACTCGCAAGAAATAACGATGAAATTAAACCACTGATTTCGAAAGAACGACAGACACATTTTCTAGGAAAGTTCAATTAAAACGTTTAATGGGAAGCACACAAAACTCCCATTTGAATTACGAAAGGGTAATAATAACTCTATTCGATGCAGGATTGCTGCTGTTGAGCAATCAACTTCAATAAGAAACAAAGCATACAGTGAAGCAAGTGAACTACAAAGCGTTTGTAGGCTTGAAAGCTGAGTGGAACATGTGTACATATGTACATATGACGAATGATTAATAACGAGTACGCACAGAAATGCCACACACATACAGATTAATTGCAGTTTACATAAAAGTTATTTATATCTATGCGTAACAGTTTTCGTTTTAATAAGCTTGTCTTAATTTAAATTACCTGATATCTCTGTCGCATTTGGTTTATATATTTCATTATTTATTGTTCGACTGCTATTGGGCGATGAGTGATTGGCGTTTTGCTGCAATACATTGGTACTGGAAGACACAGCCGGCGGTTGGCGCATGGGACGACGCGGTTCGAAATCACGCAACGGTGTCGGGTAGGGTGAATCGAAGATGCTTACTGGGCGAAATGGAAGACCGCCGGTAGGACCTGGAAAAAAAAAATAAAGTGTGTATTTATGAATTCAATTTTTTCATAAAATAGATAATGTATGTAATATGTAGAAATTATGAGTAATAATATATATAAAAAAAAATGTCGATATGTTTAAAATGAAACTAACTCAAATTAATATTGTAATTAAAATAACTAACTATATGATCTTAATTTATATTAAATGTAATTTTTAAGTTTTGAAACGATGCGGCACGAAACTCGGGCGCTTCATATTTAACAGTATCATGTGTATTGTGCTTCAAGTGGAGACTCTTGCTTTAAAAGAGTGTTAACGATCTTCGGCATTTTTATTAAATTAATAAATTGACGAATTTGAATTTGAATTAAACTAATAATATGAGAGTTCGACCTTAGCGCCAACTAGAGGGCTTAAGCTTCACACGAGCATTTTTCGAACGTACTATATCCTAAAGAACTAAAGAGTAAGAGAGTCGGAATTCACTATGTAGGATATATTGAGGCCAGAGGAAGGTCTGTACTCATTACATTAACTTTTAGTATTGCTCAACTATACTCGAGAACACGACTCCACGCAATTTTATAAAGATTGCAGAAATGGCGGTTGTTTAAAAATTATGTTTCTTTATTTCTGTTTTTTTGCCGTTCGGAATTTTTTAAAAATATAAACGAAAAAAAATTCAAAAATCCTCTCGCAGTGCCATAGTATAATGTATAAAGAAGCTCTGTATACGTATATGTATATGTAGAACTTGAGATATCATGCACACCGTTTCTAAAAAAAGTAGTTCAGAGAAAAACGACTTTTAAGCCAGAATACCCCCTTAAAGGCGATGAAAAGCATGTTTGGCTCTCGAAGTATTTTTGCCACTTTAATAAACTTAAGTAGTTTGAGCCAGAACTAGCATTTATGGAAGAGAAAACCGATTCAAAAATGGACTCTAACTCTTTGATAAAGCTTTCCCACTAATTACAATAAAATAATACACATTTATTGTGAACTAAAACAAAAACAACTAATCTATATATATGAATAATAAACACAATACTGCAATTAACATACTTTCAAGGTAATCACACCAATAAGAAAGGATAAAATGGCGCATTTAAAAACACGATAGCCAAACACGAGCAAGCGATGTACATACATACTCGTATGTACATAGCTGGTGAAGACTTACAAATGCTCTACTAAATTACACAAACACTTTCGAGCAGAAACTCAATTTAAACGCCGAACAATAAAAAATGAATTCAGTGCAAAACCGCAAGTTTATTTATTTAATTTTTATTTTGTTTAAGAAAAACTTCACTTCTGCTAGCCACTCTTCGATTTCTGCAAAGAATGCAAAAGTCTGAAGTGAAATTTTTTTCTGACACACTGACCCAACATTACGACCAGTACGCTCATATTTCCACAGGTGTATTAGTATATAAAATAAACTTGCTATATACATATAAATGTATGTATATATGTTTATACTATACACTTACGTGCATATCCGTTACTTGAAACGGTATATATTAGTGTTTTTTAATTCTAAGTTAAGTAAAGTTACATATATATATATATGTACATTCATACATACATATATACACATTATATGTGAATACATATAGTATTTAATATATGTATATACTTGAATGTGTATGCCTTATGTACTTTTATACTACTTGAGAATTAGTTTAAAATCATGCATATGGTCACGCTCTGTGTGCGTGCGCCTTAAGCCCCTTCATTTAACCGATCTAATATTGAAATATTTTGACGTATTCGCTCGCCTTACTACACACATACATATATACATAATACATTATAATAGCTGTTTATATACTTATACTCATAGCTCATTTAAGGGATTATAAAAAGTGCATGAAAATTGCATTGAAAATGGCAAAGTGAAAACGATCCTTTGTTGGGTAACTTCTTACTACACTTTTGTTGTTGTTGTCGCTTTGTAATTCCTGCTTGCGTAAATGCTAATTATGCCCTTGTTTTATGTGGTTTTCCGCATTTTTACTTTTCCTGCATTACCGTTTTCTCTAAGTGCCCTAATGTGTGTTGGTGTGCCTGTGTGATTGTTGAGTGTGTATGCGTGTGCGTGTGGCAATTTGTAGGTGCAAAGAAAAAACAGTTTGTGTGACCACATGGTTTGCATGCCAAATGTTTTCCAAACAATCAATAATAAGGTGCCAGCGCCTGGACTCAGCTGGATACGCATAGCCGTTGCTCTTTGAGTAGCATAAATATGATAATAATTGTTTACGGTAAATATACCTGACTTGATGCGTTCAAGTGGCAAAAAGTGAGATTTTTTGTGGCTTTTACCGCACATTTCTGCCCTTTGATATTTGTGTCCTTTGCGAAATGAGAAGTGTTTTTTTTTAAATATTTTTTTCGCAATGGTTTTGTATATAAATATACTCGTGTGTATAAGTTATAACAGAATATCAATGTGCGCATCAAATATGGATGAGTGGTATGGGTGCGTCACTTACAAGCAAATATCAATTAATTTTACAAAAACAATATTTTTATGTAATTAAGAGCAAATAGAAAAAGTATTGAAGAAATAATGAATGAACATACATAATAGTTATATAAAATGGTGCCTATTCAGAAGATCTATGCAAAATAAATTAATGTGGTCAACTTCATATTAAAAGTATACATACATAAATATATGAACATACTTAAGGCGTTATATCCACTTGTGAATTTAAAAAAAACGATTTATGTTTTTGCATTTATAGATGAAGGTGATCCGGCAAATAGTTTCGGAAATAAGAGCAAATTTGTATGTATTTTTTAACTTAGCGTAATCGGCTCGCAAACGTGTGTATTTCTCTAAACGCCTGGACCGATCGACTTGAAATTTGTTTTCGTAGGTAGAAAGGCTATAGAGTACTTTAAAGCGGCTGTTTTACAAGTTGCAAAAGCCGTAGTAACCCTACTAAAGACTATGGAAATTGTAATCTTCGTTTCAAAATTTTTCTTATCGCTATCTTGTCATGCTACCAAGCTTGGTTTTACTCAGTTCAGACCAGTTTTCCCATTGTGACTGACTCAAATGACAAATTATTCTCAAAAATTAAATTGTTTGAACAACGGGCATAGTTGGTTCGATTCACTACTCTCCCAGCTTGACGAACCGAAAACAGCTATTATTAGTCGGTTAAACTTAAACTTTATTTGTGAACTTAGTTATTACTATTAACAGTATTTTGTGGGCGTGGTATGGATTGGAATTTGCTCATCTGCAATACTACGCTTCTTAGAATGCCAGAGACGTCGCAAAATGCTATCGAGATGTTTCAAATTTTTCCCAATTTTTCACTTGGACGAATGAACTCTAAATCGATTAAGTCTTCAAGTTCAATTATGAAAGTCAGTTATCAAGCCACAATATATTGATTTAATAGGTCTAAAGTGTCAATTAAATTTACATATGTATTTATATGTTGATAAAGACAGCTTTTAAAAAAATACAGTTACATTATGAAAAGGGGTTACACGGGTTTCACGGCTTCAAAAAACAAAAAAAAATTTTGTCTGATTTAATTGTATAACATCTCTATAACATAAATTCTCAAGTTGATCCAAATAATAGTTTTGGAGGTAGAGCTTTGAAAAGTGGCGCGCTCGAGGTCAGCTATATAGTCACTTAAAACTTTAAACGCGTTTTTCTCGAAACTGTGTTTTCAAAGTCGGTTGTCAAGATTTCTCGCGAACTACTCAACCGGTCTTCAATTCAATGACAATTATCTTCCTTATATATTTATATAATAAAAATAATAAAAAATGTCGAGAAATTTTCATCCAAATTTGCTTTTTTTTCAACGTCTGCCAAAAATACAATTTTCACTTTATTTGTTTTTTCTCCGTCTAATCAGTCTTAGCTCAAACACGTATTTTTTTCTTTTTGATGATGCTGTCAGAAGTTCTGCTGTCAACGTGGAAGCACCTTTTTTCTGAGCGACTACCGGAAATGACGTCGTAAAGACCAAGTTTTTAATATTTTCCTTTGAAAATTTCACAAAATCTTTATCAAATATGTATCTTTGGAATAATAAACAGTTTGAATAAAATATTTCATTTTTTATTTGAAAAAAAAGATTTATAAAAAATAGGACGTTTTTGTTCGACGAAACCCACGTAACCCCATAAGTGAGGTGACTAGCTTTGTTAAAAATTAAATTAAGTAATTTTATTGATATATCCCGCTAATTACTGGTAATGCCTATAAATTTATAGATACAATAAATTGATAAACATATTCAATTCCAAAAACAGTTTTTGTCTACCTATATTTAAAGGATACAGAAAATAGACGTAAATGCCAAGTCAGAGGATGTCGAGAAACAAGCGGATCTACGCAATCGGAGCGACCGACACTATCAACTCGACATCATTCCATTAAATTATTTGGGGCTACAATAAACACAGAAATAAAAGTACAGATAAAATTAAAGTCAATTATAAATGATTTTGGTTCTCAGTGACTTTGTTTTGAAAGAAGCTTAAAATTTGAAGCCGCATCAGAACTTCTAACGAACTGCTATATGGATGATTGCTTTTTTATGCGTAGTAGAAGTTAGTCTTTAGAGAGTCTATTCATTATTTAAAACAATACGATGATTTTATTAAATTCCTCGTACTTCCTTCTCTTCTTTCTCTTGGTATATCCTTTCTAAATACTCTTCTTGTAATTTTGATCTCAATGAGTATTTTGAGTGTCAATACTGATCTGATTTCATATGGATGGATCTTTTATATGATGGATACTCTGATGAAACTCTCACCATTATTCATCATGGGATCACCACAATCACTCTGCTCTAACGAACGGCAGGACTTAATGGACGACGGCGTTGCAGCTGTTCGTGTGTATTGTTCGGCTGGAGTTTGTGAGTCCATTACTTGCAACTCGTACTTGTATAAAGCGTTTGTGGAACTATGTGTAGTAGTAGTAGTAGTGATAGAGGAGGAAAAATATCTACGTGTCATTTGTGTCTTTCTACTCGCCACCGAACGACCGCCCTGGCCAGCAACAACCAACTTACTTGTCTTGGAGCGCGGTTCACGCGGACCATCAACGGTGACTTTAATAGCTTTGGCATAGGTGGCCACCTGTATTGGACTCGTATGAACGGTGATGGTAAGCGTAAAGCTTTTGCCTGAAAATATACAAAAACAAAAACAACAAACATATATAAATTAGTGTCGAAATAAAGTTCAGGCTTATTCAATTAAAGTGGCTTAAAGCGGCTTGAAGTAAAAAAATACCATACAATGTTATAATAGCCGACACTGTCGAACTCAACAAGTAAAGTGCGAACGTAAATCTTCGACAATGTGGCAATATGTCAATCGTGTGACATGCAAATGGATTTAGCAGTTGAGCGTCGGTGTTAAGACTACAACCGGGCAAACGCCAGTCGGTGCCTTTGTTGAGTAACGCCAACATCCGTCATTACGTCACACCCCGCCCTTCTGTGATGGGTAAATTAATTTAAAGTGATCATTACACGCGCCATAACAGTTGGCGGCATTGCTTGAAGCTGCAAAGTGGAGCATTTAATTGCCGAAAAGAAGCCCGCCGAGGGTGTGAAATGATTTTAAGGACTTTTTCGCTTGATTGCCAATGTTTTTGACAGCAACTAAATGGGAAAATGATGAATTATGGGTGAGAAAATTGTGGATACAAAGTTCAATGTTACTGGGTCAACAAGAGTCAGTGGGATGGTTCATGCTAAAAAAACGTGTTGAAAGGTCTCAAATGTACGTGTTAACTCTAATACTATTTTATTGTTTTTTACTTTCTTGTATCAATTTTACATCCAAATTTATACGACTTTTAACCTTATTTTTGTTCTCAGATTGAATTAAATAGCTGGAAGACCAATGAGAACGGTCTTCAATCAATGTTTCATGTATATACGAGTACAAGTATGTTATGATATATAACAGGTATAAAAATCTGTAAAGATAGCTGTGAGAAAATTTTGATTGCCTAAGAGTTTAACATTGCACAAAAAATCGTTTGGAACCATTTGAATAAGGCTGGATATAAAAAAAAAACTCGATGTATAGGTGCAACATAAGCTAACGTAAAAAATCTTATAGACCAAATTTCCATTCGCGCATCGCTGCTGAATCAAAACCAAAATCTATTCATTGCTAAAAGGGTTCTTAGGTCCATTATGACAACGTCAAGTGAAAACGGTCGTATTCGAATCGCGGTGAGGCGATGTTAACGGTTTTGCTATGTGTTTCGTGGAATTGTCAGGGAATCATCTACTATGAGCTGCTCCTCTACCGCCAAACTCATAATGCGGATCTGTTCTGTCAACAATTGGACCGTCTGAAAGAAGCAATCGCCCGAAAGCGGTCAGCTTTAGTCATTAAACATCGGAAAGCATCCGCCTTATAGTCCGAACCTGGTATCAAGTAATTACCATAATATGTTATAATAACACTGCTCTCACATAAACCTAGATAACTGTCTATAAGAAGACAAACAAGTTCAAATATTACGGTGTTTACAACATAAAAGCTTCTGGTAAAAATAGATTACAATTTGGAGGCGTTTTCAAATTATAGCTCCCACTATTGTTAAACAAAAGAGAGAATAAAAGCAGAAAAATGCCACAAATCAGAGCAGAGGCAGTAAGGATGGCAGCTAATTGCACGTAGTAAGCCAAATTACCAACGAATCATTACAAGCGATTGAGGCTTTTTAACGAGCACAATAAAGTTATTAACTACGCACATTTGCAACTGGCACGGGTCCATGCTAATGGACCAAAGATTTTCGAAGCTAAAATCGGTAAAAAAAACAAAGACGATCGATGAAGTTGTAGAGCAAATAACGCCGCATCGCGTTTGAAAGTGCAATTAATAAAAATTATACGTAAATAAATCAAACTCACTACATAAAGAAATAGGTATAATACAAGCAAGATGTATGTGCACGGAGGCAAGCGCTGCGACGAAAGATATAACGTCCCGAAAACAAGAAAAATTAGGAAAAAGCGAAAAGAATTATTTTCAAAATTCGTAGCATTGTCTTAACAATGAAAATATTATTATGAACTTACATACATAGATATGTATATAGATCATATACACATGTGTATGTGTGTACCATATTTACAATACAAGTATATGCTCCAAATTGTTTGTGTCTAATACCTATTTGCTTGCGATATTCATCAAAATAAAACAAAGCAAAACAAAAGCGAAGATCAATGCTTACGAAGCCTTTGCATAGAGACAACAACAAATGATTCCAGAAAGTTAATAATCTAAATTAGTCATACAGCGACGACGCCACCAACCATCATCAACGGTATATTGGATCGGTGAACCAATTCAGCGCTCTCAGAGTCTAATAACAAAGGAGCGTGCGAGCAGAAAATTAAACAAAAGGGCTAAAATATTTATATAGTACATACATATGCATGTGTGTATGTACTAATGTACGCATTGTCCATCAAATGTGGAGGCAAAAATCAGTTCAGCAGATAAATCAGTGTGATGCCACCACTTTACCGTGTTGTTGTTGTACTTTTTATATTTTGTCATAGGGCAAGGATGATTATCTCTTTTCAGATTTGGCTTCTTGGTGGGGTATTTGCCTTTTGCGTTTTATTTAGTTGTCGCTGCTCAAAGCCGCTTATTGATGACGCGTGTCAGCAGGCTCTCATGCGCTCATTATATGCAAGTACCGGCTGCCAATAAACAAGAACAAAACCAACATAAGTACATAACTCTTCTTGAAAAAACAATGATACGCACTCGCCGCAACTAAGCTTTCTTCTACGTAAAAAGAGAGTTGCTGAATTCTACACAAGTCAAACTGAATTGTATGCAAACAAATTGAATTCATTAATCTTGTTAAGTTTTCGGTATTTTCAAGCGTCGCTCAAACACTCATTCTCACACTTACATACATACATATTGTAGGTACTAGATGTGAGTGTATGTAAACTCTTTGCTTTGCTTGGTGACGAGTTGGTGAAAGTATGCAGCGGCTAATGAGGACTTTGAGCATATTAGTCAAATATTTTACAAAATGCGATTTTATCTGCGACAGGATTAAGATTTTCAAACAAATTAAGGAAAGCAAAACATATTTTCTTTATGATCTGGAAGAGTAATTTACTTAAGAGATACTTTATTTTATTTTGTAACACCGAAAAATTAATTTTCAAATTTCTAAAACCAAATACCGCAACGTAAAATTAAAAAATGTAATCTAAAAATAAAATTTAAAACTCAAAATGTAGGTATATGCCAAATACCGGATTGAAAGAAAATGAATTTACAAAGTTTTGTTTTTAAATTTTGAATAATTTTGCTCTTGTGTACTTTGTGTTCAACCATTTTGGTTATCTTTTTCAAAGGAGAGCTTATTTTTTTAATAAAATTTCAACATATTTACATATAAATATTTTTAATAGTAGAGTTTCAGTACAAATGTCTGTGTAATATCTTTAATTATTTTTTCTTTATCTTTCCAACTTTTGATTTGTAAATTTAAAAATATTTCGTCAATTTTTAATTCTTATGTTACAATTAAAAATCTAATTTTGAATATTTAATTTTGAAACTTGAATTAAAAATTAAAAAAAAATTAAATGTTAAACATTTATTAACAAATTGGTATAAAAATAGAAAATTTAATTTCAAATTTAAAATTTTTTAACTAGAAAATTCGCAACCCTGGACAGAACAGAAGTTTCCCAAACTAATAACAATTAAGGATAATTTTTGATCCCTTTCAACATGGATTTGTTCTTAATATTGATGCTGATATGCTATAGTAGTTCGATATCAACAATTTTTGCGGAGATTGTAGTATTGCCTCGGATAATTATCTGTGCCAAATTTCGCAAATCTTCTCAAATAAAAACATACTTCTTATAAGAACTTAATTTTGATAGGTCAGCAGCTATATTACGCTTTGATTTCGCCCCCAACTTTTTAGTTCATATTATTTCAAATATAATAATATATGCGAAATATACCCATCTGAATAATCTAACTGACATCGTTGGTGTTGGTTTTGTATTCGACTTTTTCATTGTAGCTTAAACGCTAAATTTCTCGAAATAAACAAAATGACATTTGATGTGACTTGTGATGACGCTCAAGCAGCTGTCAGAAACACCAGCTGACCAGCGGCGGATTCTGTAACAAGTGACCAATGACAAAATGGTAATTTGTTGCGCGCATTCACACACTTTGCCCCAACTGTTAGCGGGCATAAAAAAAGATTGAAGTAAATTAAAAAATCTTATTTACTTGCAGTCCTTGCAGAGACATTATTATGCGCGTAATTATTGTTTTCGCTGTTTCGCATGATTAAATGTCAGTCCAATCAAAGGCAGCAACGACCGGCATAACCGACATTTAAATCGTCACCAACAGACAGCAATGATATTGCTGTTTTTTTACTATGTAGTAACATTTATATGTATGCATGTTTGTGTGTATATATACATACACACATATATGCGACAATTGCTTGCTGCTCTTTTCAACGTTAAATGTGAAGTGTATTTACTAATAACGAGTTAAGTATGTACATACTCGTACGTACATGCTGTATTTATGTAAATAGTAAATTATGTAAAGCGTAATTAGTGTGAAATATGAAATTGAAAATGGAGTTATGGAAAACGATTTTCTATTATAGTGCACACCTGGTGTGAAATTTCGAAAAAAATTATTTTTTTATATTGTTGCATATATCGATAGATTATGCCTACAAAAATAGCAAACTAAAATATCAAATGAAAATTTCAAATATTATTTGATATACAGCCTACTAAAGTACTAAAATTCAATGTAGGTGATCAGTTTATCTTTAGCATCTTTTTGTTTTTTTTGAAACAGCGCTTTTTCTTCAATTTGCTGTAGTGATTCCTCGGAGACAAATGATCCGAACACTACCAAATTTTTCTGCATGTTCTGTAACTATATACATCTAATGCTGTTTTTACACGGTTGGAAAATAAAAATTTTTGTAAGTTTTTAACACAATTTTATTCTATTCAACACGCTTAAATTTTATTTGTTAGAATTAGTTTTAGCGAAATATGTTCATATCACAAATTTTTAGGGAAACTCACTTTTCGTGCATACAAGCAAATTTGAAATGCGTTAATCA